AAAACATGGTCCGCGACATCATACAATGAATCATTAATTACCCTTCAAACGGTTGGTTTTATGTTGGCTTTATGTTGGTTTCATGTTGGTTGCCTGGAAAATGTACCTCGTTAAGCAGTCCGACTCATTTCGACACACCCCATTTAATCCTCAACTTCTGGCGTGTCCGAATCGTGAAATGGGCTGTGCACAAGTCCCCCCCCCCCCCCCTCGATTTCCGCTATGAGGACCTAGTGAGCCGGAGACTCACGCTTTCCTTTCCTCGCAAGTTACGTTTAAGCTTACGTGTTTACAAATAACGTTTTGCAGACGAGGTACCACGTTCGTACAATATGTATTGGAGTGGAATAGGGCGAAAGCCACGAGAAACGAAAGCGACCGACGAGTTTCACAAAGACTCCTCAGCCTCCGCATTGTTCACTTGCCGGCGTTTACAGTCTTGAAAAGGCCACATGACAATCAATCGAAGTTTTCAGAGTGGAAAAAAGGTTGCTTCCAAGACCCTGCCTGATCAGTCATTTGGCTAGTAAGGAACAGGCGGTGACAAGCATGTTTTGAGGGCATCCCCAAAGGGACTCCGAAATCCAGATTTTGGCAGCCCGAGCAGATTTTGGGGCACTAGGTATCCCGCTTTGTTTGGGTGATTTTTTGTTTGAGGGCATCCCCAAAAGGACTCCCAAATCACCTTTTATGGCAGCCCAAACTGGTTTGGGGGGGCATTTGTTTAAGTGTCCCCTTTGCATTTTTTAGTTTATTGTGGACCCCAGAAATTTGGACCCAAAAAGGGACTCGGAAGCAAGTTTGCTTTCCGGCATTTGCATTCCGAATGCTTTAGAAGGCGAAGTTGTTTGCTTTGCAAGCCCTGACAAGCGGGTGGATTATTTGGAGCTCGCGATTGGACGTTTAGCATAGCTTCATGCTTGGCTGCCGAGTCAGAGCAGAAGCGCCGAATGCTAATAGATTCTAGAGGCATGAACACTTGCCAAATGTGCAAGGCTCCACAAATGCCAGACATCAATTGTAAGGTGTGGATTGTTTGCGGTATTTGGCCCCTTTTTTTGGGAGGGTAGATGAATATCATGACCTTGATGTTTCTGTCTATAGGAACAATGAAGTTACCTTGGTTTCTCCTCGGGCCAATGCGCGCTGGGGTCTTCACCGATTTGGAGAAACGCATCTTTTCCTCGCCACCGTACCCTTGGCGGAATGCAGAAGCGCTCCGCGATCCCAGGCCCTGGTCATGTTGGGCCTGTATGTTCAATGCCAGGGCCTCGCCGCGCCGCGTGTTTTTGTTATTTTCTGTCTTTCTTTCTTTTGGGGGGGAGGGGGCGAGAGGTGAGCTCAAGCAGATTCAATTTAGATACGGAAATAAAGCGCCAATGGAAATCAGGGGCCGGCGTGGATGCCTGGGATATATATATATACATATATATTTATGATCAGATATCTACCCTTACCTAGTGAGGATTTAGCTGACCAATACGAGGGTCCCCATAGGAATCATGATGACCCGAAGTGGTTTGAACCTGGCACAACTTACCGAAGCATGACCTTCACATTGGTGGAGGCCTTTGCTGTGAATCAGCATGTTGATGTAATCACAGCGAGCTTGAGGAGCGCATCATCATTTCGGGCCACTGCTGGACACCGTTTCTGGCCAAAGGAACGAACGTGTATAGCTTTCGTGAGGTGGTCCGGTCAAATGGCTGTGGGTCAAAGCCCCGGTGCCCGCCTACCCCCTACGTCCCCTTTGAAAATTGACCAAACAAACTGGGGGTCACCCAAAAAAAGAGACCTGGGTTTTGACCCACATCAAAATCTTCAGAACCTCTGGATGTTACTCTGCTGGCCACGTCGGCCAGACACTTGTCAACGGATGCTTGAGCAAGGGGGATTGCTTACCAAGCATGTTTTGTCTTGCAGGTCCATGAGGCTTGGCTTATTGTTGAATTGGCAACATGTGATTCTGCATCATAGTGTTTGCGTATGTCCTTACATCTCTCAATGCCTATTTATTGCACCCATCTCACCCGGCCATCCCAAAAGGTTCTAACAAGCAGATGAGCGTGGATATGCATAGCTCCAGAAGATGGTGGAGTCACTAAATGTTCGTGCATTCCGCAATAGCTTTGAAGAGGCACACGCCACACGCACAGATGCATAGATGTGTGTATGTATGTTTCTTCTGGATTGTGTGTGACAAGCCGATGCAGCATCAACCATCTGCCCAACAACAAAAAACAGGCCACGCCGACACGCCAACCGCAATACCATCCAGTTCCATCTTCCTGAGGTAATAATATTGAGATCCCTGTGGAAAGCGGCATGCCGGAGGCTTCGGATCCGTGTCGGGGGGTGGGGTGTCATGTTTTGAGTTTGCACGATGAAATCGATCCCAACTTTTTGATCACGAGGACCTTCCTGCCGGTGACCTTCAAATGATTCGTGTTCAGAATGTGTGCCAGGTCCAAACCTGCATAGGGATTGAACTGAAGCTTGTGCAACACATATGCTTGTCTTATCTGTTTCAACACACGCTCTCCTTTTCCGCGCTCCTGCAGAATGGACCATGGCTGGCAACCCGCGTCAAGAGGCTAGGAGATCCCTTGAAAGGAAGATGACCAAAGGCGGACATCGTTTCCCGCCCATTCTGCATGTGCTTGAACAAATATCAAAAGGAAGCAGGGCAGGAGTCAGTGACAACAATTTCTTTTCTGGGATCATTTTCAGGCATTCTATGATCTCCGCTTGTTGATCCGGTTTTAGTATGGCTTGGTTCGCATCCTATCAATGACGAAATCGGATGCTGATACAGGTTCAGAGTGCGGATCTCAAGGTCTTTGTGGAAGTGTTGGCTTTCCGGTGACTACAATCGCAAACTCAATATGACCATGTGAACTTACCAAGACTCTCCTAAACTGAGGGCAAAGTACAGAAAGCTGTATACCCATTTGGGTCTGTCTTTTAATAGGGGAACCACCAAAAATGTGGTTGTCCTTTTGGTTTCCTTCAAAACAACTGCAAGGAGATGATTGAACCAAGCAGGCCACCCTCCCCCCCCCCTCTCAGCGTACTGGCGCCACAAAATTTCGGGATGTTTCACGCAAAAGGCGATGTTGAAACCAACACTGGCTGCCCTTCCATCCACCTTTCAAAGATTTCAGCAGCAGGGATGTATACAGGAAATCAACTTGTTTCGGTGGGTTTTGCGAATTTCCTTCAAATGTTTACAGCTATTCCCTAGAAAGAACACACCCAGATAGTGGCTCCAATTGCGAAAGAGGCCAGTGCTATGCGATCACATGTGGTGGGTGTGTTTGCAACCAAGACCTTGGAAGTGCACAACGCCTGGCCGGGCTGTTCAAAGGAAGTCCTACATTATAGGTTCATCCTTGGGGCTCTATCACTCTCCCTACACACTCCTGAGACTCCGGCAGACTATTCAGATTGAACATACATGTACATCCATGCACCTGTGTAATGATGAGCGCGCCTAACGAACCTAACGCACCGACTCATCCACCTGGGTTCGGCCCTTGGTTTGGCTAGAAATAGATGGGTTCGACTGGCTTACATCAGCTTCATTCCGCATTTGCAAAGTCAACCTGGCCTTGCATGAAGAGAATCAAGCAACGAACTTGACACCGTGCAAAGGGTATTCTCCATTTTTGAGGGGAAAAACCCGTACCCAGAAGGTGAACCCAGGGTGTGTCGCTGAGCAGTTTGTAAGTTTGTACCGGGGAACGTCATGCACCTGGAATACATCAAAACCGAATCGCCGGCCGCTGACATCTTTACAAAAGCACTTGCCCCGCAAAAAAGCGGGATAGGAACTCGCACCGATTTGTCTGAGGTGCTTGATGTTGGCAGATCAAAGTGAAGTTCGACCCACCCCGTTTGGAGAGCGAGCCGTCGACGCGCCAGTTGCACCGCGGCCCCGCGGAGCCCTTCCTGGCGCAATTGGGCGCGGCCCGTGAAGAACGGGCAATCTGAATCAGACGACTTTGGTTCATGTTTGTTTTTTTTTTTGGCGGGATGGGTGCAATGTGCCAGCTTGACTTCTGAGGTCAGTTCGAAGGTGGCCAAAGAGGGATGGGGTCAAAAGGTGCGATTTGGTTGGAAACCCGGTTTGACAAAGGAGAGCAAACTGCTCTGTGCGGTAGTGAACTTTTCCGAAGATGCAACACACCAGCCGACTTTTCTTGAGGGCGCCGGGTGGGTTGCAAAGTGTTTCAAAATTAGGGGGGGGGTGCAGCTGTGACATGTTCAAAGCGGGATTAATTAAAAGGACTTCCAGGACAACCTCCAGACCAGACCTGCGTTGAGGACATCCTCATTTCACAATTTCTGGCGTGGCCCAATGTGGGAGTTTCTTTTACGAATCCCATTTTCTCCTGGATGGCAACTTACCCAGGCCCACACACACACACAGACTTGAACTTGTGGAATTGGGGTCGAACTTATTCCGAGTCAGAGTCTTTCAAAGGGCGTTTCCGCAAGGAACCCCCTAGTAAGGGGTCACGGGGTCGTCTGTGCATTCAATCCTGGTGTCGTTTCTGCATTCAATCCTGGCGTCGTTTGTGCATTCAATGCTTTTTGGGCTCACAGGCATGACAATGGACTTGATGATTTAGGTGATCGGGGCTGACAGCTTGTCCACCCCCCTCCCCCCAGCACGCAGTGACACGCAGTGTGCTTAGACCCCTGCTCCCCTCCCACTTTGTCCCGTGCAGCACGCCTCTTCCCCCACCCGCTCCCAGCCTAGTGCACGCGCGCCCTTTGCTGCGGTGGACACTTCCGGCCGTGAATGCGCGAATGACCCCGACATCGCATGCGCAAATGACCCGGTGGCATTGAATGCGCGAATGACTCCCAGATTGCGTGCGGAGATGACTCTGCCACCTAAGGGGAACCCCCTGGTTACCTGTGTTTTGTCTTTCAAACATGTGTGTCTGTTCGCGCGGTAACTCCCATAATGGTTGTCCTTTCGGTTTACCGCCAAACAAACCCCAATATGAACGGGTACTGTTTTCGAGAACATGAATACCCACACAAGCATGTGGCTGGGCTGCCGCTTTTTGCCCAGGTGTGCTACCCCGACAGCTGCTGCCTCGGCACAGTTACTGTAGTGGCGCTGCAGTTGGCGTTGGCGGCGCAACAAAGGTCTGGTAAGAAGGCTCTCATGTGGTGAGCTTTGTTTCATAGGTAATAGGGTTTGAAGCCTCTTTGATTCATGACAGCAAAGACAACATTCAACCAGCCACCTTCAGGAGTTGCCATGGTGTATGCACATCTCCAATAAAACAATAATTACATGGCCATTTGCCCGTATTCCCGGTTGGGAGTTCTAGTAGCCGCTGTTAGCAGCCAGTTGCGAAGAGCCTTGGCTTGGGAGGCCCCGGCCCAACCAACTAAAGGACAACAAACCTATGTCACCTATGTCCCTCATGTTTTCTCCAAGCAATGTTGGATGGATTTTGGGCAACGGCGAGTGCAACTGTTGGCCGGGTTGGAATCAGAATCTCTTGCGCCCGGTAGTTCTCGAACAAGCCTGCAGGCGCGGGGGTCTCCATGTTTGGGTGCATCTTCCCTGTTCAGCCTGCCAAACTTGTTCCTTGTCTGGGTTCCGGTTCAAACACCACAACTAATCCAAACGCCGGACTCAGAGCAACAATTGAGGAGATCATTTGTTTGCCCTGGGAACCCAAGCCCACCGCCTTGCCTCGCCGCTTCCTGCCTCTTATTCCCTCTCTTTTGCTCAGGAGCAGGGAGCACGTATATTCTCGATTGCAAAACTGCGATGACGAGCCGCAGGCGGGGCCTGGGCCCTCAAGCAACGGAAATGGTAGCAAAGACATGGCCTTCAGGCATCGGTCGTATGGTCTTAAAATGTATCCCTCTTTTGACATGCTAGCCTGTTGTTTCGTTCTGTTTGAGAATGTCCTGAAACGATTGATAGGCGATTGATAGGCGAGCGCAATTTCCCGCCCCCCCCCCCCCCGTTTCCTTTGACAAGCCTGGACCAGCCGTACGATTGGGCGATCGGACTTGTGGAGTCCTGGCTTCAAGAACGTGCAAACAGCTACGTGGATGTTCCTAAGATGGACACCTCAAGTGGTTGGCTCCTTGCTGGTAGATAAATCCATCATTGATTTTCGCTCACACCACCATGATCTCAGTTGCAGGCGCATCGATCCCATGACCCGTTGGTTTCCCACAAGTCCACAGTTTTAGTAAAACGATGCTATGGGCAACTGCGTTGTGTCTTCCCGTCCCGTTGAACTGCCTGCATTTGCAGCTACTGGCTTGCCTATTGGAACGCCTGACAACGAAATTCAGCCAGCGGTCGATGTTTTTTTGGGCAAAGCTTCAACCCCTCGGCACCCCCGGCCCTTCTGTAGTGGCTGACCTTTGGTCAAACCGCGCCCTTAAACTGCAAACCTACCACAAAGTCCCGATGTGTCGAGCCGCGTTGAAGTCGGACTTGAAGTTTCTTGCGCCAGGTGTAAGTGAGCCCGTTGGCCTCGACCTGTCAAGTAGGTTGTGAGAAGGGGAAGTCGAACATGGGCGATCGGGGACCCTAGAAGGTGGGGAGCCCGTCATGTCTTCTGCTCAAATTGTCGCAAGCTCAAATAGAAAAGAGCTGACACGTGCTTTGGGAATTCTGGTGAATGCCATTGAATGGCCAAGATGTTTTGCTGGGGCAAGCCCACTGTTACGTCTTCAATGACAACAATACTGCAGACATTGGCACCCGAGTCCCTATCCCCAGAAAGGCTCCAGCACCCTTGGATCCCGATCATCGTGGAACAATCCCTCCAGCTGCGGAAGGAGTTGTTGATTTTCCCTGTCAGGGTCAAAGGGCAATTTGTCATGTTTGGTTGCATATTACATTGCTGTGCTTTCTTCAGAAAGTGTTCCTTCAGACACCACATGAATCTGGTGGTGCAACCCTGAAACATGTTCCGAACCTGGGACTCTGGGCCCCGGAATTTCAGGTTGTTGAATGTGTTCTAAGTACAGCCGAATATCGAATCAGTAGACACATGCCAAGCTTTGTTGATAGGGGTCGCGATCAGTGTCAGCCGACCTCGACTTCCCGACCGTCGCGGCACGACCAGAGATAGATTTCTCACGCCAGCAGGCAATCGCAGCTGTGAGCCACGGCAATGCGAATCGCAACCAGAGCGCGGTATAGCACCTCATTCTGTGCGTTTGCCCTGTGTTCAAGAGTCCTCCAACATACCTTTTTGAGAATTCCTCAAGCTTTTCTGAGGAATCCTCGCATGGAGGCTCTAGGGTATGCTCTTGGATTGTGAGGTGTGATTACCACTACGATTAAAGTCAGTGATTGGCAACAATGCAGAAAGGCAGGCTCATCATGCGGGCTTAAGCCGGTTGGTGGCACTGCTGTTTTGTTATGGTGTAGGGCCCAGCTTGCATACCTCAAACGGACACACCCCAAATTTGGTGGTCCTGCATCATTTTGGGTATGCAATTGTTTCCGCACAACAGAACCAAATAAGTTGTCCTTTCCACAGCCCGTCAGCAGTCAACGAATTGCATCTTCCAAACTCCGCTGGCTGTGGGTCAAAACCAATGGTATCATTTTGGGGTAGGTGCACCACCCATTTTAGAACTTATTTTCGTGGGGATTGGGATGTTCACCGGGGGTGCGGGATTTTGACCCATGGCCTGCTGTGTTTGGAGCAGACTTTTGGACCAAGAGGAGCACATTGGTTCAAGAAGGCACTTGGCAGATGTCCGGCAAGTCTCCGGAGACCAAATGCCTGTGAAAGCCCTCGCGGCGTTTGCACGGGAAACAATCCATTGAGGCGATTTGTGAATGACACCCTGCTGGTTCTGGAAGAAGCTGGGGACTGGTCAAAAATATGGTGCCACCTTCAGCAAGTCGAGGTCATGCACCTGCACCCTGCTAAGCACTTTGCTCCCGCGAGGATGTGTGGCTTGATGGGTATGTCTCAACATGAGGTTGCCTTTTAATCAAAGGGGAGCCAAAGGAAGCCCGCCCACTATGTTGGGGCCCCCCAAGAACCGAAATGTCGATGAAGTTTGGCCGGAAAACACTGCTGCGACTGTCGGGCAGAAACCAGAGGCTTGGCGAACTTTGTGCGCAAAGCTGAGACACTTGATTCACACATTTGCCATGCCTTCGCAACTGGATGTGGCTGGACAAGGCAAGAAGCTACTAGAGCCTTATCCAAGTGGTAAAGCAACCAACACAACAAATTGTTGGTGATGTATGTTCAACTGCTTGGCTCTTGCGCTCATTTGCCCATGCGTGCCTCTGCAATTGAGGAGACACCGGGTCGCACATCCGCTTGTCTCTTCTCCCTCAGCTTGCAGCAAATTTGGGAACGGCATTTGCTTTGGTTTATGGTCAAGCAGGCGAATTTCCCAAGCCCACCAGTTGTTTCCGTGGCTGATTGTGTTGTTGTGCTTTTCCAAGTTGGGGTCATCCCCTTGCTTGATTTCCTGTTGGTTTCTCTAGCCATCCAAGACGTTTGTCTCGTGAACGCAAGCGGACCTTGCGACCCCGGGCTGCAAATGGCCGGAAATTGGACATCAAAAAGCGGCTGGACTCACTGGGGCGAGGGGGCGAAACGTTGAAGAGCCTGCCCGCTTTCCAAAGGGAAACCACAAGGAGCCTGTTCAAATGATAGTGGGTTGACCATGTTTAAGCAGCAGGTGTTGGTTTCAGGAAGGACTTGCCGAAAGGAAGTCCTGGTTTGGTGACTATCTGGGTATTGATCTTGGGCCAAAGCGCGGCACATGCAACCCCCGCCAGTGGAGCAGGCCCGGAACTTCAACGGGGCAGTTTCGAGAATGGCCAAGGGAGGCGGCTCTCAAAAGCCTGGCTGTCCGGGTCTTTGAACCCTCCGACGTAAGTCACTGGGAGAGGTGTATCCTACCTCTCAAGTTTGGACCTGTGATGCGAAGTCTCGATAAGTAAGTTCAGGAATCCAAGGATTCCGGTTTGACTGGTATCGTGCCACATGAAATGGGTCGGTCTTTTGGTGAGGACCCCCTCAAAAATGATGTCTGTTCGTCTTGGTCTTCCTTCAAAACCACAAAAATGGGGAACCTGAAAAAGAAGACAACAAAAACAAGATGGTTGTTTCCTTTGGGGTACCCTAAAAAAATGAACCAAACAAAACACAGATGGTTCGTTCCTTGCGGCGCGGCCGCAGACTTCACTCACGCCTAGCGGAACTGCGAATCGCTTGGCCCAAGCCAAAGGCCCGACGGGCTTGGAGTTGCAATGAGGTTATGCAGTGACTAGGCGGTTCCCAGCCGTCCCCTTCGGTCCTTAGGCTTTTTAGCATTTTGGTGTGGGGGTTTCATGGAAACCCCACGAACAAGTTTTCAGCTTCAGCAGGGGATCTGAGGACAGTCCAGGTGATTGGCTGTTGGCCCAATTCAGAAGTTCCTTCTCTGTGCTGACTAGGCCTTGCGGCGCCAAAGCCCGAGGCGGTGGTAGCTATTTTCTGCCCAAAGTGCTGGGTGACCCAAATGGGTCATGTCACTTCTAATATTTGTGGACGCTTCAAGCAATCCATGTCTGCCAGATCTGACGCAGTACTTCTCACCCTCGGATCTTAAATTAAGTCAGAACAGACCCCACGAGAGCTGCTCACGGCGCGAACCCTGGGCCATTCGGAGGTTTCAAGACCAACTTGCAGCTTGAGGGAACGGCCAGGGAAGCCCCCGGTGCCAATCCGAAGATTCTAAGCTCACCAATCTGCAGGTGTCGGGTCTGCCGGTCTGACCCGCCTGCAAACTCAGAAAGCCTCCCAGGACTTTTCGTCAACTGAACCCACTGAACGAAGGCCCCAAGAGCTCACCGATCCACTTGGAGTCACTTGGTTTGCCGTAGATCCCGATCTGGCCCCCCGCCATGTGCGCGCGGTGGCCATCCGATGGCAGCTCCGGCCTCGGACACAGCAAAACAAAAGAGAGACGCGAGCCAAGACCGTAGGGAGATTACGAACGGCACAGCGACACTGCAAGACATGATTCGTACCTTGCAACAGAGAGGGGTTGATATGGAAACAACAACTTCCAGTGGCAAAGTTGGACAGCGACATCGTGAATCCACCTCCAAGTTGTGTGCCACGGTTCTGTTCAAAGGCTGACTGAATGAACCCATGTAAGCTTGCGCGGACACCGGCAACATGTCAGAATGGCCAAAGGTTGGTGAATACTCCATACTGTAGCATGTATACATACATACATACATACATACATACATACATACATACATACATACATACATACATACATACATACATACATACATACATATATATATATATCGATCTGGAGAGCTTCCAATTGCCCTGCCGTGCGATTGTTGTTTATTCAAAATGGTCGCATGCAAACCAGTGTTTGCTGGTTGTTTTCTTGGTGGACTGAGCCGTCGCTCCGTCTGAAGGAAACAGAAAGGCGCGAGGGACAAATCAATTGCCCTGGAGGGAAAATTATGGCAATATGTTTTAGGAGTCCCACACTTTCGAGGGCACATGGCTGCGTGTGTGTGTGTGTGTGTGTGTGTGTGTGTGTGTGTAAAAGAGTGAACTTGGCAAAAGGGGAAAGGGGGCTACCAGCCCCCTGTTGTTTATGGGTTCGAGCCTCAGCGTTCCTTCCAGACCAGGCTTTGACCACTTTGAGATACTTTGAGAAGCCTGTCGGTTTGGCGCCGCGTGATGCTGCCATTTCCCAGACACTCCATGTTGGCCACGTTTGCCTGGGGTGCCAAATTCGATTCAGAGACAAACCTCTCAGCTGAGCACTCCGTCAATGCAGCAATGCGGAGCCGAGGGACCCCATTGAGACCTCTGATTAGTCAACCCTGTGAATCAAGAAAGGAGTGCTTCCCCACAAAAGTCATCCGGATTCCCTCTTAAATGGGCTATCCCCAATCCAAATCAATCAGGGGTCTATGAATCTTGCATTCAGTCAGTAGGCTAGAACCAGGGTTTTGAGTGAAACAGCAAGGGTTGGTTGACAAATACAGTCATGCTTGTAACCGCCTTTCCAAGAGTTGAACATACCAAGTATGGTGGATAGCCGGGATCTTTCATCAAAGCGCCCTTTCCAACGAGACCTTGGCCCAAGGGCTCTCCGAGCCGGTGGCAGTGCCTTCTTCATCTTCTTCGAGGTCCAGGCGTGGTTGGTTGACCGGAAACAATTTCGTGGCGTTGAACGGAGCGACGGAACCCAAAAAGGTTTGGGACCCAAGGAGATTGGCTGTTGCGAGGTTTCATGTATGTTACGAGGTTTCATGTAAATCTGAGCTAGTTGAAGGTGAAGAGTTCCCTACAAGGGCTAGGTGAGTTCCTTGCAATCTCAGGGTTGGTCCTCAGGGTTGGTTTGGATATGTTAGATACCGAATCCACGCTTGCGTCCATGCTGCTAAAAGAGTGCAACACTTGGTGGAATTCGGGGAGTCGGTGCATTCAACATAGTCTCTTGAAATAAGGATGCCATTGTGAGGAAACAGCATGAGATTAACCTTTTGTGGTTGTTTCATACTGTCGGAAGAGGCACCATGTTGACTCATTTAGGGGTGACAGACATGAAGTGAAAGGCAACGCATCATGCTGGATTCCTTGCATGACCTAACTTTGATTGTGGTGTGCGGGTGCAAGGAGCTTCACGCAATTCAACTAGCGTCAACGAATGTGAGAGAGGGCGGCACAACCGCAGCCCAGGTGCTGGTGGGGTCTATCTTCAAGGAAAAGAATGAGGTCATGCGAATTGTTCCTCTCTTCCAGTATTCTGCATAGTTTAATTCGTGATTTTCGGGCACTCCTTTCCAATCCCTTGAAGCGTCGCTGTCAGTTTCTTTTTGCTTGAAATGATACTCCAAGAAATTTCAGGACCTGTGCTGCTGTTTTGTGCTGGGATTTCTGGTGCAGGGTAAGAGGTAGCTCGTTGGATGGGTTGGACTTGAACCCCAGCTCCGGTGGATCGCTCTAGGGGTTGATTCCCCATTCTTTTCAACCATCGATCTTTTCAACAACCAGCCGTTTCCCTGGGTTTCGGAAGGTTTTTAGAAAGAAGGATCCCTGGAAAGAATGGAAATGGAAGGTACCCCTAGAACAGCGAGGGTACCCAGCGTCAGACCAAGCCTTGGGTGAGGCAGGTCTTGCGCTCAGGTTGGTGGGCGTGGTTGGCCGGAGCCCAAGAGCCCCCCCGGTGCGTTGGGCGGGTTCCGGAGTGGATCCCCCGAATGGAAGGGAGCAAACAGAACTTTGGTGCGTGTTGCCAAGGGATGTTAGGACTGTAGCTTTTTGCCAAATGGGTTGTCCAATTAAACCACTAAAAGCTAAACTTTTAGCAGGGGAGCAGAAGGCTGCTCTATGTAGCCTTAAACCCTGCTGAACTGGCGCGATCAACATAGACACGGCACATAGATGGATCTTGTGGTTTACTTTCCGTCCCTGAGTCTGAACGCAGCAGTTCTTGTTTCAGCTCGTTTCTTCATCGCCTCTCTTGAATGGCTGCACATGTCAGCGACCAGTGATAGCGCTGTGAAGCCAGCCACGTTCTGTCAGTGGGAAGTTGAGGTCAGCGCTTCTGTAGATTTCCTGTTTGCATTGAAGCCTTCACTGGCGCATCCTGCCGCGATTTTGGATCAGGAAGGGCAAATGTCAAGGGCACTTTCGGGGCTCAATTGTTTTTGAACAACTTTAAACAGGCCCCTCAAGTGTCCTTCATTTGACTCGCATACGGCTCGCTGCCGACCGTCTTCGCAAATGAAGACTCTCTTTCGATTCTCAACGGAGTAACTTTGCATTTTCCATCGCACACTTGATCCGTGTATTTTGTTTGGCCAGCTCGGGGGAGCACAGGCGTTTGTCTGCCTTGTCCTTGAACCCTTGCTTAACCAACGAAACTAAGGACAAGCAATGTGCACATATGGCCATGGTTCAAAGCCAATGGTACCATTTTGGGATAGGTGCACCACGGATTTTAGTCTATTTTAGTGGGGATTGTGCAGTTCACTGGGTGTACGGGATTTTGACCCATGGCCAAAGGACAAGTCAGTGCTTGTCTTACGAGTGAAGTTGTTAGAGTTGCTTCGCCCATTGGCGTTCCGTGCTGAGGCGGCGACTCCCGCAGCACCATATCTTCTGCTCGGGTCTCAGCGAAACAGTGGCACATTGGCAGTTGACAACTTGTAATACCAAGAGAGCCCATTTTATGTAGTCATTTGCTTCCGTCTCACGGAAAGGGTGATGTCCTGGTGCAGCGAGTCCAGGTTCATGCTTGCCATCTTCGGCTTAGTTGTGATCGCTCGGGGTGAGTCGGTACGCTTGCGGTTGTTCGTGATTGTGAAGTTACTCTTGCTGTCATTGTATTGCTTTGTTTGTTTTTGTTGGTCTGTGGAAGGGACAATCAACTGAGAGGTGACCGAGGCAATGTTGTTTTTGCTTATTGGCGAGATCAGAATATACCAATTCTCACGGACTGTCCAGGCCATGCCAAATGACATTGCATCGGTTTCATTCGTGGAAGCACCGTGTCTTGTATGCTGGTTTTGTTGGGCTGATCCTGTGTTGCGATCCTTCATTGCGTCCAAGGTTTCGACTAGTTGCTTCCATTTGCTTACGAATATGTTTTTCCCCTTGTTGGTTTTGAAGGGAATCCATCACTACTGGAAATATGTTTGTATTTTCCCAGGGGGCTTGAGCAAATGGAAGGTTGCGAGAATCCCCTGACATGATTTGAAGGGTGGGTGGCAGCTCTCTCTGCTGTCTATGTGGCGATGCTTCATTCAGTGTACTGGCGTAGGCAGGGCAGGCAGCAGTAGGACGGTTGCCAGCTGTCTAGAGTCTAGCTGAGGGAAACTTGCTCCAGTTTTGAAGACAAGCTCGCCCTGTGCTTGAGATGCATTGTCACACTTCCAAGGACTTTTCAGGGCCTCCCAAGAACAGGTTGGACAGAGAACACAAGAGCCATCAGGCACCTGTCGTGTAGGTAGCAGCCTCCCTGGCATATCTATAATGTGGATGGACGAAATCCATTTCGCACCTACGAAACCCTGGTGTCTGACGATGTCCCCTTAAATACCAACAAAATAGATTCAACCATGATTTCAAAGTGGTGCAGTATTTCGATTATCCACAGTATTGGAGTTGTTGTCGCACTCTTCTACTGCTTCAAAGGAAAGCAGTGATAAGATGGCAAACCAAGCAGCCTTCTTTTGCCTCGGCAGCCAAAACCAAACTGGATGCCAAGTACCCATGTTTGCGCATGTCTATCCAGGGAAACCATTGAGTATGGAAAGCAGCTTGTATTTTTTTGGTTATGCTAAGCTGTATTTCATTTAAGTTGTATTAAGACATCGAGCGAGGCTCGCCAGCTGACGGTGGGATGCCAAATCGCGGAGGGTGGGAACTTGGAGCAGATCTAAGCAGATCTTGTTAAGCAGATGGGCTTTGTTTGCTTAATTGCCAAAAAGAAGGTTTGAATGTCAAAAGAAAAACTACCCCTCAAGCAGATGTTTGGAGAAACGGCAAAAACACGGGTTGAGTAACACGCACCTGGAGATTGATAGCTCTGTGTTGATTCGCAACCCCCGTCTAACCCCTGCGCCTCGGATGGCAAGACCTGCGCGCCCATCTTGAGTGGCGGGGTCTTGCTGGACTGGGACATGTAGGGCCCTATGGTTGGTTTGAACCCAAGGGTTCCAGGAGACTTGGCTCATGGGAGATCAGGGTCCGACCTTTTTTCCACGCCAAGTGGACATGAGTGGCACGTGATGCATGTGATGAAAGCGCAACACGGGCCTAAGATAATTCGTGGGCGCTTGCCTGAGCTTTGCGGCATCCAACGGAGAACCAACACATCCAACGGAGGGCTTTCAGTTCGACAGCCTCGCCAGAGGATTTTCGCGGCTATGTCGGGCTAGCTTTTTTTGGTTTTCTATGGACTCGACGCGAGAGCAAATGACGCGATAGCAATGACGCTCTTGGAGTACTAATTGGTGTCCATGATTGTTACGGAGGGTTCATTTCACTTAACCCCCTGTCAGCCCTTGTAACCACGGGTTCTGTTGAGGTCTACTGGAATTCCGGATGGGTTCACGTGCCAGAGGCATTTGCCAGTGAGTTTGCTTGCCGTTTGGAGCTCCAAGTCGCATCTACAATCGACTGGAACACGATCTTCGCCAGGAAGCCAACAGGCACCAAGCCAACTTTGTGTTGTTCCAAAGGCCAATCAAACTGCGACCATGTGTTTTTTTTTTCTGCAGCCAAAGGAAGTTTCGTGAACTCACTTATAAGGAAAACAAGCCAGACCGAAACAAATTGGATTTTGCCCGACTCAATTCAAGCATAGTTTATGCAACCATGGATCTGAAGACCAAGAAACTTGGTCGTTCAGGGCTGGTAGGGCGGCAAGCCTCAAAATGTCGATGTTCGGGTCTTGCTGAAGCCTCTAAGTTTAAGTTCAGGTCCTCCCTTCTTGCTGGGCCAACCTTTTGGGTCGTCGTTGTCCTTGTTGGCGTCGTGGAGGTCGCTGCGATTTTTTCGCCCGGCCAGTCATCAGGTCGGGGTCCACGGATGCCTTGAGCACGAGATCCGCCGGGCGCGCCTCGGTGCTTTGCATTTGTGGATTCGTGTGGCTTTCCGTGAGAAGCAGTCTTTTATCAAGTGGTGAAGCCACCATTCTAAGTCATGTCCTCATGGTCGGTGTCACGTTGCTCGTTTTTCGTTGTTTACTCATATGTCACATGTTGGTTTGGTGCTTGTGTTCATGTTTGGGCTGCAAGGGACATTTGCTAGCTTGAAGCAGAAACCGAGGCAATCATCTCAGCCAAGACCTGTCCACTTCGAGTCCTTTGAGCGACTACACGATTAGAGGACTCCCTTGCTGCAAACCGGGCACCACCCCGTTCCGGAGGGTGGCGTAAATCCGATCTGACAGCGACAAACCTGGCTAAACCTAGCTGAGTTTCTGCTTGAAACTGCCTAGCCGGGAGCCGTTTGGGCATCCTCCAATACAAGGAGCCCAAGCTTGCGGGTGAATTTCCCAACCAAGCAGGTCAACTTGGCTCTGCCTGATGGACAAGCAGACTGATTTTTTGCAAGCTCACCTGGGGGTATAACGAGCTCGGCCATGAAGGCCCGTTGCCTGGAAATCCCTCACATGTCAAATGATGTTGGGTTTTAGCAAGTAGTTCAGTTGTTTGTAGACCACATATTACGATCAAAAGAGCCCTGTCAAGGGCCACTGCTGTTGGCCTTTTGGAGCCACCCAAAATGATTGAGGCCTGCTGTGCCAAAAGATCAATCCTATGCAGACTCACGCGAGTGGTTGGTTTCCCTTCGGTTTCATACTCCAAGAGGGACGCTTCTATCTGTTGGACCCCGAATTAAGATGATGTTCAATACCTTCATTCAACACACACACAAGCGCGTTGTGTACAAGGATAATGAGTATCGTATACGCAGCTGGGGTTTCGCTGTGAGTTACATTCCTTTGAACGCGGCTTCGCCAGGCGGGAGACTCCCGAGTGGTTTCAGAACGACCAGTTTCTCGCGAGGAGCGTGTCGGAAGTTGCTGAGTTGCTCCTACGGCTCAGGTTGGTTCTAACTTTCAGGTTGTAAAACCTACCTCGTCAATTGGCTGAAGTGGCTTTGGGGGGAGCGAATCAAGTTACAACCTTCCTAGTGTTGACCCCATGAGAAGTCAACCAACCTGTTTGTGAATAGGGGGGCCCCCCAAACGTGGTCTGATTCCAACCACTAAAATGAGGGACACCCCCCTTTTGACCAACTGAGGTTAATTTATATCGGGTCAACATTACGAAGGTTGCTACCTGAGTTGCTCCCCCCAAGCCACCTCAGCCAAATGGCGAGGTATCAAACTTGATCTACCACCCGATTCAATCCTGCCCATATCAGATAAGCTGGGAAAAGCAAAGGCGTAAAATGGATCTGAGTGAATTACAACAAGCTCAAAGGGGGCTCTCATGATGAAGGTGCTATACCAGAAATTTAATTGACTTCCAGTTGGTGGACTATGAGTTGCCCAGATTCAGATTCCCTTGCACACGATGTTGTTGCTCAACAGTGGTTAGTATGTCTGCTTGTTGGGGAGTGGTTGAGAGGAGTAGAAGCTCTGTCAGGCCAAATTGCAGGGGTGTGCTATCTATCCCTCATTCAAACCTTGATACACCACTCGCAGATGGTTGTCGTACTTGGCGAACATGTTCGCCAAGCGACAGGAGCCGTGGCAAGGGCCAGATTGAGCTGTTAGCCTTTTGGTCTTCTAGTCCACTTCTGACCCTGAATGGTCCACCGTTCAGTTCCAGCACGCACATGAGTAAAACCTGTTGCGCATGCCCATGTGCTACATCAAATGTCGTGGTTGCTCGAGGTTTACACTATTATTATGTGTACATGATGGCCACCACATTTTTGCGGATGTTGGGCAACCAGGAGGATTTCTATCTAGGCTTCCGTCACCCTTTCATTTCGAGCCATACCAAAGGTCCTTTTCCCTCGCTTAGTGGACGAAAGTCGATTTGCGGGAGGGGTTGATATTGGAAAAAGTCCTACACTCTGCCTCTCAAATTGCTTTGTAAAGTCACCTCCTTTTTTGGCTATTTGGGAGACCATGTCACGGCATTTGACAGTTGTGGCGGAACTTGTTGGCTTGCTTTGGTTGTTCTCTTTGAACCGGGACAAACACGGGTAGAAATCGGTTGCGCCCATCCCGATTTCCTTTTTGCACAGAAAGCGCATCTCAGGAGCTTCAAGAGAAGGGCACTTTGCGCCAGGCTCTCCGCTCGGGCGAAACTCTGGGAGGGCGAGTTCTTTGCTTGTTGGTGAGTTCATGGACTTTAAACTGTTTGGGAAGGACATTTTACCCCAAGGTTCAGCCCCCCAGTAAAATAAGGGTTGACCCAATTTGGATGATGACAATTCTTAGGTAAACAATGGTGGTTATGTGACCCCCCATTGCCGCAAAGTTTAATTTGGCAAATGTCTGGCCAATCAACTCAGGAAGTGAGACACTTTTTGGCGTTTTGCTGGACCATTTGTGACATGACTGTCTGGGTGCAATCATCACGAGGGTATGGCTGAAATGTTTAAATCGCCAGGAGGCTGCAGGTTTTAGTCCTTGTTTCCATTTACCAGGGTTCCATTTTGGGTACCTATTTTTAGTCCACACCAACAAGTGTTTTTGCTGGCCATTCTACACATGGAATCCCAAGAACGAAGCTGGCAAACGGACATGAACAGCAGCCGTTCGCGAATCTCCCAACGCCCCTCGCCCAAAACCCCCCGATCTCTCTTTCCACCCAACTCCCCCGAACCCCCCAATTACCACCAACCCCTGAAACACAACTTGAAGCCCCACCAAGTTTGCGAGGGTTTCCTTGGTTTTGCAGGAAGTTTAGGGAGACGCCCCCATAGACTACCAGACATTCTGACCACTTGCTGGTATTGCTGTCAACGTGCCTGGCTTTCTGCCGGACGCGCCAGGCCGATCCCTCTGAGTTGCGGCAGGGAGCCCCAGCGAAGACTTTCCAGTGCCTGGGTTTGACTGCAGAGAAAGTGAGGGGTGGGGCTTTGAGACTGAAGAAGAGGATTTGCTGCGGAGACTACAGAAGTCGATATCTCTTGCAGAAGGACGCATAAGGCATGCAAACCCACAAAGTGTCCTTCAACTTGGGAGCCCACACCGGGGTTTATGGGGCATTTCGGCCAAGACTGGCAGTAGTCTATGGTCCATTTAAGAGAGGCATGGGAGGCGCTACATTTCCCACAAGGGAAACAAGTAGCACTGACCCTGGCTCAGATGAGTGTTGCGCAAAACATCGCAATCATTTCCCATAGCCATAGCCCTTTCTGATCATTTCTGGGCTGCTCCTTCCATGTGCATTCCAGAGCAGAACCGCACAACGGATCCTCTTTCTCTACCTGGGCCCTGCAACTGCTATCGTGTCGCGTTCGAGCAGCTCGCTGATCTCGATGTTTGTGCATGTGTTGCCTTCGGCATTGGTTCTCCGACCTTGCCATGCTGATGTCTCCGGAGGATCTGAGCAGCATTTGGGTGGTTGCGTTCTTATTGACTGCAACAATAGGCAGAGACCAGAACCTCCAAAACGTGTGGCGCTTTCCCACTATGGGCACACGTGTTCAATTATTGGTTTGAAAGCTTTGGGAAAATGCCGCACGTTTCTTTTCAGCTGTCTTGGCAGACTGTTCAGCTGTATCATTGAGGAATCAAAGCTCGCAGAGCCTGAGACAGTAGGTTTGAGACGAATCCCAGCCAAAGCCTCAAACGGAGCTTTTGTTCCTCAAAGGGTTCCCTCCCACCAGCGAACATGGAACTTTCCTCTTGGAAGGGGGCTTGTTGCACTTCCATGCTAGTTGGTGGGAAGGTAGTGGAAACATCTTGCTTGAAACTTGGGCGTGTCTTTTGTTTAGAGGGATTTGAATAGGAAACCACCAATTTTACGTGGGCAAGTTGTGACCAGCGGTTCCTGTCCACGTTGCCATGGACCCACCAGATGGTTCCTTACACAAGTTCGTCCAAACCAGGACAGCGAAACTTCAGGTTCCATGGCAACGTTGACAGGAGAAGGTGCCAACCGCAAGCTTGCGAAGAAGTTAAACGACATTTGATATCACACATGAGGGGTGCGCTTGCAAACCAAAGGTGACACTTTATTTTTCAAACAAAGCTTGCCTAAAGAATCCATTTTGGAGTGAGTTTGGAGGTGCCTTGGCTTTTACTGTTTGGCAAGCTGGCACGCTTTGGTGGTGGAGGAAATGGATGCCCTCACTCCCACTAACATGTCGCCTCCCAGGGCGGTATCTATAAGATGAAACTGATCTTCCAGTTGCCCTCCCACAATTCCCATTATGATACTGGTAGGGAGGGCATTGCTTTTCCCATAGTCAGGTGGGTGCTTGTGGTGCACTCAGGACGGCCAGGCCGCCCGCAAGCCACCGCGAGGCCAGTGCTGACGTTCAACGGACGAGTTGTGAAGATTGATTCATATAGTCATTTAGTTGGATTTTTGGACTTTAACTCTTTGGGAAACAGTAGAATTTCCATTAGACCCACCAAAAGAGTTAAAGTGTTTTTGCAGAGGGGTCAACAGCAACCAGGAGTTGTGCGAAAGTAAATAGCACAACTCCACCCCAGTTTAGTTTAGTCGTCATGCTTTTTGCCCACGGTGTTTATCAAAGTTGGGAGACCCCAACATTGATGGTTTGCTGTGGGTTTCCTTGAAAAAGCAAACAAAAGAGGGTCCGAATTCCAGTTTGAGAAACTCCCACATTAAAGAGAATCGCGCCATGTACTTTCGTGCTGGTTTTCCCACAATCACCTCCAGCTGTGCCAGATTCACCTCTGCAAAGAAATCCAGGGATGACCTCCCAACTTTGAATCTGACTCGAGCCAGGAAGACCATGTTGCCTAAAACGGGTCTCTTGTTGGTTCCATGTTGGTGGGAGTGTATTGCCACGTATGGCCAGAAGAGTTCCTTTCGCGACAAAGTTTAGGAAAGCCTACTTTGTCATCCGAGTTGTTTCCCACCATGCTGTGAAGCTGAGACGAGTCACAGTTCTATCTTTTTGCCATGCGCTGCAATCAATTCTTATGGGCTTGCGACTCACTTCACTGTCTGACTTGGGCCCGAAGATCGACTTGGAGCACGACTATCATTTGAGTGTATCTTAAAATATGGCACTTCCAAAATGCTGGTTTTCCTATTGGTTTCCTACAGGAGCGCAGCCTTGAAGGGGTACCCTATCAATAAGACATTTGGTCGTGGCTCAATGGTCGGATCCTGTGCCAACAGCGCCGCGCTTCTCCGGTTACACCAGGCAAGCAGGGGCCTGTCTCATAGAAAAGCCGCAATTCGGAGGGGTGTTCCCGTTGGCTTCTCCTTAACAACAACCCTTCGGCGTGCCTTTAAAACAACCCAAAGAAGGTCGTCTTATTATTCCGTTCTTATATTTCTTTTACTCAAAACGAAATTAAACCCCGGACCCGAACCCTACCCACTTGCCCTTTCAAGGAGCCCCCCACCGCTTGGAAAGCAAACGGACACCTCTTGCTTTGGAAAAAAGACGGAGCTCCCCCGAAGCGTCCTTTGGCTCCTGGCCCAGTTTTCGCGGCCGCTGGCGGAGCCTTTCACCCGAGCTCCCGCGCCGAGGCTCCTGAAACCGGATACTCACCTGGCGAGTCGACCGGATCTGGCAACTTTTGGTTTGCCCGTTTTTCGGTCCAAGTATAGTGGCCTGACAAGGTTAGCTGTTTCACTCTGGGTCCTACGGCAACAGAGAATACGAAGAATGAGAATGGTGACTGTAGAATGGAGAAGTGGAACAATGATAAGACTGAGACTCTACTGTTATGTGAGTTACGTGCCTTTCCGATTGCAAGTATAAAGGTCGGGTTGATCATGTTGCAGTAGTGTTGGAAGGGGTAATCGCTTGACAAACTATGGAAGGAGGCAAGAGGGCATTCAACCATAGCAATAGGTCAGTCTCATACATTCGATGCAGCGCAGCCTAGGGGCTCAGAGAAGAAGATGAATCTCACTGCAGAAATGGAAGGGGCGGGTAAAGAGCCCTTCCGGGAAGAACGGCTGTGGGGATACAAGGGAAGTCATGCGGGTATGAGGTATGGGTCAACATGTAACCAACAGGGGACCGCAGGTTGTAGTCCATGTTTCCATTTGCCAGGGTTCCATTTTGGGTACCTATTTTTGACCCCCATACATGGGGGAGTGGCCCACCGTGTTCCTAGTTTGGGTGGGGGGGATTTTCAAACGATGTCCTGCGCTGCATGCATGAGGTGAATTCACACCCCATTTGCAAAGAAACATGGAGTAGCTGCGCTTATAGGAATTCACTGAAGAACAGCACGTTACTGGGTAAATGTGCAGGCGTTTGCTACATATTGGAAGCCGGGAACAAGGACAATATTTGGCACCCTCAAGCTACACCAACTCCAACTCGTGTACCGTCGTGACAATCATTTTTTGCAGCAGAATAGAAGGGACGTGTGTTTGGCAAAACGGATGCTGGATCATGTAGTTTTGCCCATTTGCCAACCATCCAGCCATGCCCCAATTCGCTCAAGCATGGCTGCTTAGGAGGGTTGCGCATCTCATTCGATGATGCTTCTGTTGGCAGGTTGACTTATCGTGTAGTGGGCCTGGCTTGGCTTTGTGCCTGCAGAAGCATATTCAAGTTGGCTGCAACGGATCAACATGGAGCCCAAAAGCCGGGAAAATACTCCGCTTTCAACATGCTACAGTTGGGGGATGCAGTACTGGCCTGACCAAATAGATGCAGGGCTCTGTCTTTGGATCCCTTGGGCATTGGAGAAGTGAGCGCTCAAAAGCGCAGGAACCCTGATGCAGTGGGCCCAGATCGGTCGGGAGGTTCCACGATCCAAACCGCGGGCTCCTTGAGGAACACCCAAGGGATCTGCGTGAATGCTGGCAGGCTGAGGATTAATATCAGCTGAACCCGTCAACATCAGGCTCCACCTAATTTAGGTGGAGCCTGATGTTGAACGGTTCAGCTGTTGGACAGTTTGGCGATCCTTTTCTGGCCGGAAGGTTGCTATAAAAGTGTTTGCACTTTGGAGTGGGGCTTGATCCAGAAGGAGGTTCGGGCCTTTGGACGGATGTTGCCAGTGGTATGTCTCAAGGGCTGCTCTGTTGGGTGTCTAGTGTGGTTTCAGAAACCCTTCCAACCCAGACATGGGTCTCCTGTTTTAGGATCTCTGATCGCTTCTTTGAGCACTGATGTTTTCACCCAAGGGATAAAGTGTTTGGGAGTGCTTTTCCGATCGGCTTAAATATTTATCTTGTCATCCACTTGTTGCTGTTGTTCCAAAACAGGAGTCCTGCGTGTGGACACTTCCTGCTTTTGCTGCCGGAAGGCTCGGTCCATCGGCCTGCAACCAAATATCTTTAATGCCAGCCGCGGGCTTCAGGGCTTCAGGGCGTGACGTTGTTGGATGACCACTTCCCCATCCTATGAGCGAGAACACGTTCTTGATGTCCCTGCGAGAATCCAGACGTGCTCTGGCAGAATACGTATATGCTGGACGGATATGTTATTCGTGTTTCAACACTCGACTTAGAATGATCGATTTACAAATGGTTGCGTCCAACAATGGATAAATAACATGAAGGATTGTTTGTTTCATTGAAAACAACAACCTGGCTATTATCGTTCGACTTGTTATTTGTTGGGCTGTTAAGACATAGTTAATCTAATTACTCACCATACATGTTTTTTCTTGTACAGCAACTGACAACTGAGAAGTCAGAGGCCCTGTGGCGCGGCCACTGCAGCAGTAAAGAGGCCGAAAGGGAGGCTTCTTATGTGTCCTTTTCGGCAGGGGAACAACATCGCAGTTTCATAGCCATGTAAACGTGTTATTTCCCCCTCTGGCATTGGGAAGGGAATGCCATGACAGTGTCGCTCGGCATGATGGACCCAACCCCATCTATCCTTAGTTGTTCAATTCAGTGGCACATGTTTTTCCTTTTTTTGTGGTGGGTTGCCCTCTTCAAATGGTCGATCCCACAAAGGGCCCCCGTTTTCTGCAGGGTAAACCATCCCACAAGCTCCCGGTGTACGGATTGAGGTGGGAACCTGGCCAGGACGGTGCGGGGCGGGAGCAGATCTGCCCTCTTTCGTGCAATGTGCGACATCCTTGGGCCCCGAAAGGCATGCTACTAGTGGAGCAGTCTTGCCGTTTGGGCTAGATGCCGTATGTGCCTAACCAGTTGAATTTGGGCGCAGTGAAGTGTGCCAATCAATTTGACCCGTTTCAGCTTTTTTAGTTGGAAATGAACATGTATTTGCGTTGTCATAGCCCGGTTTCATAGAACCGACTTCTTGTCCAGATTCACTCTTAAAAATACCACGGAACCGCACCAAGACCCATCATGCGAGTCTTTCTTTGGAAGAGACCCTCAAGGTTCCCACTTACTTGCTGTTGTAGGGAAGCCAGGCAGGTGCTGCCATAGCATTTGCCAGTTTGCAGATGCGCGCTGCACATACACTTTGCATATGTTGGGAAATTCTGGCAGATGAGCAGATGGCTGAAGGTTTCATAGGCTGTGGACTGCTTTCAACCTGTTGGAGTTCTGCACGGAAATGTCCATTTGCTGCAGCTCGGGAAAATGTAAATCCCCTTTTGCAGGCCACCCTCGTGGCTTCTGTGGAAAACAACCCCCCAAAACAGGAGGTATTTCTGCAAACGATTCCCAAACGATGTTTCGAGCATGAAAGCGACCAGCCAAGGACGTCCAAAACAAATATGCAATTGTGGAAGTTGACAGGAGTTCTTGCGAGATCCTTCCAAAACAATTGGGCAAAGCGTTCAAAGGATCTACAAGGGATCAAGCAATCAAGATTACATTGCGGCGTTCAACATGTTATGAGCTGGCTAGCTACTCCAACAATCTAAATAGTTTTACTTGGGCCCTTGTTGGGGGCCACTAATTTTGACGATGTTTGACATTTTGAGAGCCAGCTTGATATTTCGATCTATGCCCTCAGCTGCGCGCGCACTACATACACGCCACAGGGGCCATTTTGTGGCCAATGGATGAAGAGCTGCATGATGCATCTTGGAACCCAGAGACGCCAGCGTCGCGGCGGTACAAAGCAGTTGAAAGCGTCTTCGAAGGTTCGAAGCCGAAAGCGCCTCGAGCCAAAAGATCTCGGAAGTGAACTGCGCGAAGTGCAGATCAGGCAGTGGCCAGAACAAGCACATGTACCGATCCAAGCAAGTGGCAAAACGGTGTGACGGGTGCTACTTTCGAGGCAGCAGTTGAGAGACGCATCCAGCCACCTGGTCTCTGTGCTACATACTGTACCCAATACAAAAGTGTTATATATATGTAGTTTGTTTTCAGCCATTAGCGGCCCATAACAAGGGCCCAAGTAAAAATACATAGAAACAAGACGCCAGGAGGCGCCCCCGGCGGCTTTGGCGGCCCAAGGACGGGGCAGAAACATGGCTTCCATTGAGATAGCGACCCAAGTGAATGAAGACCATGCCAGGCAAAGGAAGACTGCAGCAATTCGGAGTGCAGGTAATGTTGAACCTGATTTGTGGGCGATTGATGGTTTTTGTGCGACTTGTTTGCGTTTTGAGCGGCCGTTTGTGGGTGGTTTGGAAGTGTGGTGTTTCATCCGTTCAACCTTGTTTGCAGACCGTCAAACTTCAAACCGCCTCAATGATTAAGCTGTTGCAATGTCTTGGTAGGTGCCTTTTGGGTTTATTGCCCTGGAAACATAGTGACATAGAGCTTGCCTTCCGGTGATTGATGTGGAACACTCTTCAATTCCACTGGCCCAAGCTTTTATACTCACGCAGCAGCCCCACAGCATGCTTTGCCAGCCAGATCTGCTTGGATTCAGCTGAGGTCTTCCAGCCTGTCTGTTTGATATGGGCGTTTCGCGGCGGGGATCACTGGTCAAAGGAATGGTCATAGGGGAGACTGAGGTCAACTGTCGTTTTTGCCCACGCAGTCGATCGATTCTGCATACTTTCCTACTCTTTGCTTTTTGACCCACTTGGTTAAATTGAGGGGACCACCTGCAGAAACAGAGTGTTTTACTTGAGTTGTCCTTAAAAAATCCCTACAGCTGGTCCGGCTGTGTGAGGAGTTCAGAATCCCGCTGCACCACAAGTTTCTGCGCGTCAAAATGTGTTTTCTTGCTGGCTCTCAGAAGGGAATTCAGGAATGTTCCCCTTCCCACAAGAAATGGACCCCAGCAGAATTTGTCCAAGTTATTACCATGTTCTTCTTGACGAGCCAGTTTGTGGATGGCTCAAAGTTGAATCCAATCGGCATTGCGTGGGCCATTGCAATTCCACTTAAGGCTCATCCCAACCCTCAGTTCAAAGAATCTGTGTGAAATGCAAGCTGTGATCGTCCAAACTGTTTGGTTTCATTATAGTTCCCATTTGAAACCGCCCCTGCCAGGGTCCAACTCGTTTTGACATGCTCACTTTTGGCACCTCAACAGAAGTGGACCCGGCTTTTTTTTCCGGCGTTGGGCATTTTTTCGCCCCAAAACACGGGGAGCCCCCCCGGAAAACGCCTGGCTGACGCCTCGTGCCTCCCCTCCAAACTGGGGAGACGAAGGCCGCCTTGGGGCCCTGCCGGGCCACCCGGGCCGTGCGGGCCATGTGGGCCCCCGGGGTGCCAGGGACCTAGAAACGCCTTACACAACTTTTTAGCGCTGGGCGAAGGCGTGCAGGGGGTGGCTTTGGCGTGAAAGGGGTGGCTTTGGCCAGCGGCCAGGGCATGTTTCCCTGGCTTTGGCAAAGATGTTTCCTGAAACATTGCAAAGTCACAAGGCTGACTATGGCATGTGGTGTGTGTGTGTGTGTCACGTTTACGTTCTCCCAAAATGGCGGCCTTCCTTTTGGTTTTCTTGGAACCCCCAAGCAAGAGGTGCCCTCAAAAAGAAACAGACCCACATGAGCCACAATCAAAACCTGGGTAGATGAAGCTTAGTAAGGGACTCTTGGTAAGGGACAATCCCGACCATAAATAGCTGCGGATATCCGCCTTCTTAATTCTTGAAGCATGGTTCTGGGTCAACCATTTAATACCGGGTTTTGATTGTGACTCACAACTGCTTGGTCTTCAACCTCTGCTGTTGAGCTGGATTGGATATATTGGATTAAGAATATTAATATTGGTTCCCGGGTGGGGTTTATCTTCATGTCTTTTCCGACCCCGAACTGAGCACCCAGGTTCTGACCTATTGACCTCTGAGGCCCTGGACCTTGGCTCCCGTGCGCAGCTTGCGGAGGCTCAAAGTCCCCAGGTGTTTTGAGGCTCGACCGTTTGGCACATTTCGGCTTTCCATGTTTGGCCCAATTTGAGTCATGGTCCCAAAAGGTTGACCTTTTATTTCCAGGTCCTTTGGGCAACTGAGGATAGATCTTTGTCCGAACTTGAAGCGTTTTACTTGGAAAAGGACAACTGTCACGACACAATCGACGCGTTTAAATCCACTGTACTGAACCCAACGCAAACACCCGATTAGGGGTATCTCGGAGGGCGTCCAGAACTTTAAAACTTAAAGTTGTGTTTCCAAAATAGGGCTGGTGTCTACTGGTGTCCTACAAAATGGCGAGGGTGTCCTTTCATTGTATTTGATTCTTGGCGCCAGGCTGGGATCCCCCCCAATGCCAGGGCTTGATAGCCGGGAGAGCGGGGAGCAGCTTTTTGGCCGCCACTTAGGCGCGGCCTCGTTACATGCTATGAGGTTTCTGAGGGTGTCTACAGCCCCAAGCAACCAAAGAGCACTCTAAGGGTTGCTTCCCCATTCTTTCCAGGCATCCTTCTTTCTACAAAACCACCAAAAACCATGGGAAAACAGCAGGCTTTTGAACAGAACGGTGGTTGAAAATAATGGGGAATCAACCCCTAGAAGCAAGATCTTTTAGGCCCTCTTCAAAGTGCTGATTGAAGTTGGCTGTAGAAAGTCCTCATCTGTTCGATTGGCACAATTTGTCGGCTCCTTATTCTGAGCATCAAGAAGAAACAGAACACTTGTTGCGGGATGTGCCCTAACTTGCAGCACAGAACTCTGAACAAAGTTTGCCACCTTGCAAAGGGCATGTGCCAGCTCACCCACGATTTTGCAACAATCCTTATAGGGGTCCTTTTTTTTGGTGGTGAATTGTTAGTTACAACTCGGCCAGATCAATCCAACAATACCCTACACGTAGTGCGGATATCTTCCCCGACTCCAAGCATCAATCTGTGTTCTGACTGATTTTGGCTGAGTGTTACTTGCTCAACACGCATATGGTGACACGGTCTTCAAAGCGTGGTTCCATATTCAGCTGAGAAACAAGATTTGCACTCCCTTTGCTTGTGGACTACATGTGTGTTTTTCACACGGGGAAAAGTGGGTTGTCTCCTTTTTATTAGGTACCCCACCCGAACCCGAACCCCCCAAGAAAAGCTATGGTAAAAAGGCGGTCCTGAGGGGCGGCCTGTTGTTGGTTTGCCTGCTCTGGTTGTTATGTTCGTCTCAAACCTGTTGACCACCTTCTTCATTTTTAAAAGAGGGTTTTGGGGAGGTGTTTCACCGTTTTCGTTAAGGGGGTCATTTGGGTAACTACACCCTCCCCCCCTGTGTTGCTTTTGCTTCGCAATTGACCCTGCACCACACGCATGCTATTTGGCTCAAGGCCCTATCTTGTACCGTTGCATTCATTCTGCAGCCAATGCAAAAAGGACCTACCGTACCAGCTCCCTTCGGGGATACGGTACCCCTGGCAGTGGGTCTCAATTGTGGTAGCGGAACGGGTTTTCCGCAGAGATCCAGACACAATGTCATCCGATGGAGAAGGCTTCGTGGAAGCCTATTCAAGTGTTGGCCGTTCAACCGGCTACACTGAAGAGACGCTCAACTTATCGATGACCGCCAAGCAGCCGCCATCGTACGACGGAAGAGTCAGCTGGTTTGGATATGAAGAACTTGTAGATGATTGGGTGACCTTCACAACTATTGAAGCATCCAAGAGAGGACCACTCCTCAAGACTCCAGTGAGACGCTCATATGTACAAGGCAGTCCTCCAGAACGACCTCTTGCAAGATCCTGACGAAGGAGTCAACTATTTCAAGAACACGCTGAAGAAGTTCTTCCTGAAAGGGTCGACCAACGTGTACTTATACAGACTCCTCAGTTTCTTCAATCATAGGAGGCAGAACACCGAGTTCCTCATATTTACATCAAAATTTGAGATCCTCTTGATGAGATTGAAGGCAGCCTGGATGGACCTGATGCCAGTTCATACGGCACAGTCACCAGAGTTCATAGCTTCAGTCCAAGAGGCCGATGCAAGGGCAAGCCGGACCGCATCAAGAGCTGCAACCTACAGGCCGGACGATTTGGAGTTCGAGGGCTGAACAGCTGGCCAAGACACTCGCGTCTCTCCAAATGGACGTGCTTGGCCACTTCAGTCCTGCACGCAGTTGGCTGCCTTAGGCAGCCCATCCTTGAGCCGGTCAAATGAAGCGTTGGCCGCGCGTTTTTGCTATCGCAGCGCGTGACGGTGATGGAAACCTGCATTGACTGGTACAATTGTTTTGTTTGGCCCAAGCAGAAAAATTTCCTTTGAGTCCACAAAAACCTTAATTGCGGGGAATCTTAAACTTCCTCTGCAAAAAGTCTGGCTAGCTGGCAACAAACATGGGGGGCCATGCAAGGCTTTGCAAGATGTGTGAGATGAGAACCTCGATGAAGATGAGTTCTACTTCAAGCACGCAGGTGAGCATCCGACCATGGAAGAGTTCAGAGCAGCGCAGCGCCCTTCAGGGTATCCACTGCGACTTCTGACCGGACTCAAGAAGTTGAGGAACTACAACGATCCCGAGCTCATGAAGTCATTCACGACCATTCTGGGACCCCTGCTTAGCCGGCTGGGGATTACATATCTCTTATAAATCACTATAAGACTTAGCAGCGGGTTTATAAGGGTTACAAAATGTGGTTTAGGAGGTGGTTTAGGCAAGGGTTTAGCTAAAGTTTAGCTAAACCAGCTAAACCTGTTAAGGTTTTTTTCTGTTGACTACAGCGCCTGTGTGCATTTTGTGCAGTACTGCGTTTTCCTACCGCAAGCGAGACATCAAGCAAAGCCGCAGCGGGCAGTCCGCGCGGCCCCAAAGACGCAGTTTTTCTAGAGCGATTCCACAGCTCGGATCAGAGCGCCCGCACGGCTCCAGCACGTCGCCGCATGCGCGAGCCCGCGCGGCCTCACAGGCAACAGCTGCGTGTCAGGCAGCTGCTGCCAAGCTTGAGCCGCCTCACTGGCGTCATCGAGACAGCGCTCGCAGCGCGCGATGACAACCGCGAGTTCTGCGCGAAAGGACAAGCAAGCTCGGAGCACCCCGACATGAGCATCCACCCGCACAAAGTCGCCGACTTTGAAGAGGATGCCGGTGAAGCCTTATACATTCGTAAACACAAGGGCATGTCTCATGAGCACACAGACAAGCATATACTGAAAAAGCCCAGCAGCGCATATGATCGGACACGGCCACGTCAGTGTCCAGGCGCGTCGAGCGAACAAGACCATCCGCATGCGGCGCCGCTCGCTGGTGCAGCATGATGTGCAAGCTCCGGGCGAGGACAGATCGCTCGAAGCTGGCATTCGGAGCCAGTCGCCCAGCTTGCTCTTTGAGCACCTTGTGTTTCCTCGCAGCATGATGTGCCGGGGTGCAAAAACAAGCACGACAGGGATTAATTCCAAACATGGAAAAAACACGTCGTGCGTGATGCTGTCCTTTCAAGGCTGAAAGCATCGAAGATGCAGCCGTCGCGAACAGCTTGTGCGCTGATGTGATGGATGTAGTGGTGCTTCGGAATGACACAGGACTCTCCGTGGGCCGCGACGAAGGCGTCCAGATGGCAGCGGACCGCGTCCTGCAGCTTCGCCGCCAAGCGGCGCAGAGCATCACCGGGCAAGACTTGCTTCTTCAGCCGCAGATACAGTCGCACCATGTGAACGCATTGAATCAGCGAGCGTGTCTCGGCCGGCAACACGTCGGCGGTAACCAGGGCGGCGAAGGCCGCAAAGATCGGGAGCACGGTCAGCAAATCTGAAGCGTCCCCTTTCCAGACGCCGTCTGATTGCCGCGTCATGGCAAGCTTGATCTCGCGCCATCGGCTGGCTGGGAAACTCCAAGCGCTGGCAAAATCAGAGACGCTTTCCAAAGAAAGGCCATGGCTTTTGCAAGCCGCCATGTAGCACTGCACCTCTACATGACAGACACCGCCCTGCAAAAAGCAATGCATCGCGTCCCATGTCAAAATGCTGATGGGCGGGAACTGCACGCGCACCTCAGCATCGAAAAGGAGGCCGCTGGGGTGAAACACGAGGCCGCATGCCTTTTGTAGGCTCTCCAAGTCTTTCGTTGTGGCTGTGCGTGCAGATTGGGCTACCTCGTCTGCGAGCCGCCACACGTCCGTGTCGGAGACAGAGCGGAATGGGCCTGTGCTGCAAATTGTCACAATGCCCGGGAGATCAAGATTGGCGCCCTTCTTGACCACATTCAGGCAAGCCTTGGGCAGGACAGCCGTGGCCACACACCAGAAAAGAAAACAAGATATTTGTGTATACAGGCTTTGAAAAGATGTGCTAAAAATGGCGATATAATAGCGAGAGAAGGAGCTACACATGGCTTGTATCCAGCAGCGCCTTTCGCTAGCAGCGTCGACTTGATGGCAGCCTCATCCGCGACAAAGTTCACGAACCGCACTCGGCCAGACCGATGGCCGTAGGTGAATTCTGCGTTGTGAAGCCGACGCACGACCGCACGGGTCACTTGCGACATGCCAGCGGGGATGGTCTTGAGTGTCTCTGAGCGAACGCAGGTCAACGGCACCCATAGATGCTCGTGCTGGAGGCAATGCCGCCAGTCTGCAAAGCTGAGGTAGACGGCAACGAAGCGCCGACGATTCTGAACTCTCAGCGGGTTACCAGCGGTGACTTCGTCGTGATATAAGATGCACCGCACTGGCGCGGCAGGACTGTCAGATCTTGCCCACGCTTCCATGCAATCGCGCCAGTCGCTGGAGGTCTGCACGAGGTAATCCACGGTGCGCTGGAAATCTAGAATAGGAATGGTGACGGCGCAGTCTGGCATTTGGAGATCTTCTACAAGGCCACGAAGAGGAGCCATAGCCTCTTCAGCATGTGCGTGCCGGATCCCGCTCTCTGACGCGGGGAGATCAGCGATGACGTCTGGTCGCTCTCTGGCAAACTTTAAGATCCGAGCCAGAGCGCAAGATG